GCTCAGTTTGGTTAAGCATCAGAAATTTTGGGGCCAAATTCTGTGTTGATGTACACTGACTGAAACTCCAAATGGCAATGGGATTGTGCAAATAGTAAGCCAGGAAAGAATTTGTCCTGTATTGTACTGTATTGTCCTTTATCCGTATTCATAAAGCTTCTTGGATAAGAGACTGGGCTGGAATTCATGCAAGAACATGCTGACTCTTGAGGTTTCCAATATTTCCTGTTTATTGCTTAATCTGAAATACCATGATCATTTTTCTTGTGATATTTTTGTATTTCAGTTTCCAATTCAAGAAGTGGGGGTTGGGAGGGGGAGCAGGAGAGGCATACGAAATGGGGTGGGGGAGGGTAATTAACAATTGAACTTTCAAGGGTTTGCCCTTCACAAATTACAATTCATTCAATTGTGAATAATTCCAAGCAAAAATATAATAACTGGATGATATCAAATGATTAAGGAATAACTAGGCAGATGAGTCATTATATATCAGTGTTTCACACAGTGTGGGGCATACCCCCTAGGGGGCTTGAAAAACTAGCCAAGAATCATTATGGAGGAAGAACACATTAAGACAGGTATGTATTTAACAACATATTCGGGGAGGGGGGGTTGCAGGGGAAGCATGACTGTTTTAAATTTTCCTGAAGGGCAGCTCAATTTTCAAAAGTATGGGAAATATCCTCATACATCACGATCCAGTGCAGAAGAATGTTGCTACCTGCCCATGACACAGATCTGTAGTAATTAATCTACATATCATCAGTTATCCCTGTCATGCATGACACTGCAAGACCTATAAGCACTTCCTAATTTGTTATGTTATTAGAGGGTAAGATACTAGCTTTCTGTGAGGTAGCTGTGTAGGAAGAGGGGAGCAGACCAATGCTGGGCATGCCTTTAGGTCCAGAGCCACCCTGCCAGGATGCTCTGGGAGGCCTACAGGAGTGTGAGAAATGCATTGCCATTCCTCTGAAAAGGTACAATGGATGCTTCCAGCTAGTGCCTGCTGCACGGATACTAACTGGCTGAATGCCTGACCATGGTCAGGGTCCCGTCCTAACCTTCTCCAGAATATTAAGTAAAGACCCTGCTCATGTGGGAAGAAGAAATCTCTCTGCACCATTTTCTTTCTATACTACTTGTGCATGCGCATAGCATAGGGGCAGAATCTGGACCCTAGTCCCCTATGGATAGGTAAGTCCTGGTTTCTGATTAGGGATGAACTACAGAACAGTCCCTGAAGTAACTTCTTGTTATTACTAGAACAGAACTTGATCCCTTTGCGGAGGCTCTGAAATGCTGAGTGTTACATTGGTATTACTTTTTGTGCACCTCTGCTCTTCCTAGTTTTGACCTGAACTGATTGTAAGCTGCTCCACTAGATTTAACAAGGAGGCCTGTTCTTGTAAAAGCTCCAGGCAAACTTTGCAAATTCCAGAGGTTCAATAAATTCCCAAGAGCTTGGGATAGCGCTGCAAACATCTGGGTGCTCTCATCTGAGCCAACTTGAAGCTAAGCTCTGAACTACTTGAGATTCAACCTTCTCTAGCTTGACATTTGGTTTTGCTGGTGGTTTTGGTTTTGGAAGAATTCTTTTATTCAAAAGTTAGGAATGAACACTTGAGAAGTTTGAGGCTTACATTCTGAAAGTAGGACATGGAGATGTATATTACATCAGAGGTAACATAATATATACCAAAAGAGGAACAATGTAAAAAAGGAGAAAACAATTAATTGGAAAATTGAATATAATGAAAATAATAGCACGGGGGTAGGAAGGGCAGGAGAAGAATAACGATACTAAGTAATTTGATACATAGATTGCAGGGGTGAAGACCTGGCCCCACTGACATCAAAAGGAGTTTTGCTTTGACTCCAGTGGGATCAGGATTTCACTCTAGATGTATATTTAACACATAAATCAAGGGGCAAAGTTCACAATTGTCTCCTAGGGCCAGATTTTCAAAAGAACTCAGACCCCAGAATCAGAACTCCCTTTTAAGCCCCATAACAAGTAGTCAGATTTTCTACAGAGCTGAGTCTCTCACAGAACAGTATCAGAGGGGTAGCAGTGTTAATCTGGATCTGTAAAAAGCAACAAAGAGTCCGGTGGCACCTTATAGACTAACAGATGTATTGGGGCATAAGCTTTTGTGGGTGAATACCCACTTCGTCAGACACATGCGTATTCACCCACGAAAGCTTATGCTCCAATACATCTGTTAGTCTATAAGGTGCCACAGGACTCTTTGTTGCTTCTCACAGAACAATCAGCCGTAAGTGTCACAATGGGAGCTGCTTGGTGCTAAGGACTTTTGCAAGTCTGCTCCTTATTTAGGCGCCTAAATGGGAGCTGGAAAATACAGCACCAATTGGGGGTGCTTAGCATATGAAAATCTGATCCTGAGGTCTTCTGAAAATATGGCCCATCTTGCCTTAGAACCATTGGCCTCATGGTTTCTTGGAAAATGAACCATGTCCTCCATATGCTATGTGACAAAAAGTAATATTTGCATTTGATTTCAGAGCTTATTTATTTATTTCCCTCCCTTACATTTATAAATGCATGCACATGACCCACTCTTGATCTTATCCCTTACCAGCAGAAGGGACACCCTCCTGCTCTTATTGTTATATATGTAAGCATGGCAGATGCAATTTCATAAGCTTCCAAATCATCTATGGTTTAGGAAACACATGGGGCTAAGTTCTGCCCTTAGGTACATGTGCTCATGTCCTATTTACTTCAATGAGAGTTCCACATGCACATCAAAGGGCTGAATTGTTCTAGAGCACAGTTCTCAAAATGTGGTCTACAGACCACCGGGAGTCTGCAGACAACTGTCTGGCCACGTGGTATTGGTGCTCTTCCTTCTCTCCAGCTATTAAGTCCCATTAAAAGACTGCTAAAAATACATGAAATATTTTCCTAAATGTTACTTTTCCATTTAAGTAATTGAGGTCAGAGCAGCAGCATGGTCCAGTGAGTAGGACACCTGGGTTCTATTCCTGACTCTGCCATAGATCTGCTATGTGGTCTCAGACAAGTCATTTTAACCGCTCTGTGCCTTGTTTCCTCTTCTATCTTTTGGCTATATAGGGAAAGACTCCTAGTGACTTCAGTGGGCACTGAATCAGGCCCTTAGTTAAGGACTGTCTTTTACTATGTGTTTGCACATTGCTTTGGCAACTGGTCGGAACCCCTAGGTACTACTGTAATACAAATAAATAATATTGTATCTTATATGCAAATTAGTGATAGGTTTTTCACACAATCACCAACAGGAGTGGAGATTATATTAACATATGGTCCACACTATGAAAATTCCTGGTCTAGAATATGTTTCAGATGATTTATGCAGCAAAGGACATTGGCATTAATTGTTAGGTTTGTTGCATACGTTCTTCAGTCTATCAGCATCAAGGCTTGGTGGTCACAAAATGAGGTGTAGCACTTCTTAATTGGCAAAACATTCCTTGCTCCCCATTTTCTTCAAACGATCAAAGATTGTGTATTTTTAGATCAGGAATTTTTTAAGCTTCCCTGTATTCTGCACAAAAAAGGCCAACATCCAAATCAGGGCAAATAGTGTCACATGTTCTCACATCAGTGTCAGAAATGTTTCCTTTCAATTCTTGCAAGCATTTTAAAATTTGTCATTTAGTTTCAACTCCAATAAGCTAACAGACTCCAATTCTTCCAAGTGATCTGCTTCTATGACTCTCTTGACTGATGTGCGTGTTTTACTTCTTGGATCCCCTCCCTTTAAGTGTCCAATACTAACCATAAAAGTTGACTTGGTTACTGTTGTTCACTATAACTGGTATTTCACCTCAAAATTATCCTATCATCCATCAACTAGTATTTTCTGTTTCATCAGATTAATTTTTTGATATTTTTGTATGCCTTGTCTTCTGCCTCCACAACTCAGGGCCACACTAATCAATTTTCTGAAACTACAATCAGTGGTATAGAACAGTGGTGTTCAAACTGCGGGTCGCGACCCAGTACTGGGTAATGGAATGTAAGGCACTTGGCACGGCGGCTCTGGTCAGCACCACCGCCAGGCCATTAAAAGTCCTGTCGGCGGTGCTGCCCGGCTAAGGCAGGCTAGTCCCTACCTGTTCTGACACCGTGCTGCGCCCTGGAAACAGAGGTCTGGCTCCTAGGCGGAGTGGGGGAATGGGGCCCCGTGCACTGCCCCCGTCCTGAGCACCGGCTCCGTACTCCCATTGGCTGGTTCCCAGCCAATGGGAGCTGGGGAGGGTGGTGCCTGCAGATGAGAGCTGCACGGAGCTGCTTGCACACCTCCGCCTAGGAGCCAGACCTGCTGCTGGCCACTTTCGGGGCGCAGCGTTGTCTACAGTGCCAGGACAGACACCCGTGCTGTGCTGCTGACCAGGAGCCGTCTGAGGTAAGACCATGCCGCAACCCCGCACCCGAATCCCCTGCCCCAGCGCTAAGCCCCCCAAACCTGGAGCCCCTTCCTGGACCCCAAACTCCTCATCCCTGGTCCCATCCCAGAACCTGCACCTCCAGCCCAGAGCCCTGAACCCCTCCTGCACCCCAACCCCCTGCTCCAGCCCTGAGTCTCCCTAAACCCAGAGCTCCTTCCTGCACCCCAAACTCCTCATCCCCAGCCCCTCCCCAGAGCCTGCACCCCCAGCTCAAAGCCCTGACCCCCTCCTGCACTCCAACCCCCGCCTCAGCCCAGAGCCCCCTCCCACAACCTGAACCCCTCATTCCCAGCCCCAACCCATATCCCTCACTCCAGCACCCTCACCGCCGCACCCCAATCCTCTGCCCCAGTCCTGAGCCCCTCCCATGCCCCAAACCCCTAATCCCCAGCTCCGTTGGATCGTGGGCATCAACAATTTTCTTCAACTGGGTTGCCAGAAAAAAAGTTTGAAAACCACTGGTCTAAAACACTCTAAATCATGCTGGCCGAGAGGTCAAGGATTGAATGAACACAGAGACTGAAATATCTTCTTACCTTTAGAGTTGATCCTTTAGATGAAATCAAAGCATATTGGTAGAATAACATGAGGAAGCCTGCATTCCAGCTACTGGTGCCTGTTCTGTGGATAGAGGGTTTTAGTCTCCAGCACAGAAGTTAGAATTATTTATTTGTGTTGATATTCTCAGTCCTACATCAGCGACAGACATTGACACAGTCCTTGCTTCAAGGAGCTTACCATCTAAATCAGGGATCGGCAACCTTTGGCACGCGGCTCGCCAGGGTAAGCACCCTGGCGGGCCGGGCCGGTTTGTTTACCTGCCGCGTCCGCAGGTTCGGCCGATCGTGGCTCCCATTGGCTCCACCTGGGCTAACGGTCATCACCCAACTACAAAGAGATTTCTGACCTTCAGACACCCACATAATATATACACACATATAATATAGCTGTTCTAGCTGGGGCAGAGTTAAATATTTAAATAACACCAAACTGAAATAAAAATAGCATTTGTATTTTATAGCTATATTTTTAAACAACTGAAAAATGGACAGCGGATACTGAAATGCTTCATTAATATCTATGCTATTTCCACTACATGCTCAAAGATTTGGGTCTGATTTTAAAGCTCCTCCACTCAAGGAGATGTAGATTTTCTTGGCAACAGCTGCTGTGTAAAATATTCTGAGATAGAATTTTTTATCATAATTAATAATAGATGAAAATTTCTGTGGTTTTGATGTTCTAAACTCTATGCTGTTTGATTTACGATGTCTTTATAGTTGTTTTTCTGGTAATTCTATGCCTCTTTCTGTTGGTATAAGGCTGGTTGTCTCTTTTATTTCCCTAGTGGAGTTGATACAGTACTCTTTTCTCCCCTCTCTTGCTCTCTGTTTCTGTAAATATATTTCATAAAGTTCCCCTTTCCTCCTTAATGAGACTGATCCCTATGTTCTGTAAGTTTGTTACGGTGGATTTTTTTTTAAACTCTGCTCAGTGATAGTAATAATTATCCTGGGAGCTGCTCTTGTAGCTAGAAGAATGTTCAGTGTCCACTCTGGCAGCTGTCTCTGTTCTCTGTAATGAATGTTTTAAACTGGATGGTGACTGAAAATGTACATTATACTAAGAAAAAAAACAGGTTGGTGTCACTTACAAAAAAGTTATTGGCTCATACTTGATAATTGTTAGCTTAAAAGCAAGTTCAGTATAGGTGTTTGTAGCGTATTATTACTACATCAGCACTTCCAGCTCCTGTGATAACAGAGGAGCATGTGGTATAGGGGGATCACTATCAACTTCTATAGTTAAGATTGCCAAAGTGTTTTCAGAATAACCCCCTTGTTTTCTATCTTTCATAACTTTTGCGAAGTTTCACCTACCCAGTTCAAATTTTCCAGGCTTCATCTCTTCCTGAAAGTGAATTTTCTTGGAAAATTTAAGTAAATAAATCCCAGCCATTTTGGAGTAAGTGGAAAGTAAAACAAACACACCAAAAAACAATAAAAACAAAAATATTGCAACTTGTCTCCCTTTTTACCTGCTCTACATCTGGAAGTAGAAAGCTGGCAGGGCATTGTCCTCATTGAGGGAAAGCACACTTGAGTGCTTCAGTGAAAACTGCTTGAAATTTGACTGAGTTAGGAAGCACTAATTGTTGCAATTTGCATAGGACAGGCAATGGTACCAAAGATAGTCATACAACAAACTGCCCATCTTAGGAAGGTAGGCTGTGCTGTGTCTGTGTGCACAACTTCTTTCTCTTAGTAGTGATCGTGCACATCTCTAGAGGTGATCACACCAAATAAGCGGGGGTTCATAACAGCTTTGCTCCGTTTAACACAATTAGGGGAAGGCGCTCTCTCTGCTAGGCTGTTTCTAACTCTTTCAGCCTTTGGGGAGGCAGGAATTAACCTGGGCATCACTTAGGGTGACCAGATGAGGGGAAGAAAATATCGGGACACATGAGGGGGGGTGCCCGCCGGCAGAGCAAAAAAAAAACCCACTGTGCTGCCGGCGGATATCGGGACAAAATATCGGAACAGACACCGAAATATCGGGACGTCTGGTCAACCTAGCATCACTTCAATGCACAGATCCATCCCATGCCTTCATTATCATGTACAGAACCCCAGTGCAATTGCAAAGAACAGTATAAGGGAACAGGGCATGAATGCCAGATGCCTACGAGGAACTCCACCTCCAGCAGTCACCATCTTGACTGCCCCTCCAGCCTCAGCAACTTAGCCCCAGATTAAGCCCCTCCTTCCAGTTGGGCAGTGGCCCATTGTTACATGTGGGACATGCTCATAAGGACCTGTCCCACGCCCCAAGTTCATGCTGTCAGCCTGCTGTGTCTCTGCGGCACAACAGCACATGCCCTCTCCTTCAGCCCTTCTCCAATGGCAATCCCATCCTCCTCCAATCACAGGAGAACTGAAAGAGGGACCGGATTTCCTGCCAACTCTCTAGCGGACCAAGGTTCTGTGTCTGTGGTGGTGGAGGTGGGGAAGTGTGAAAAGTCCCCCTTCTCCACTCTGCCCATCCTCCCAGCCAGTCAGGGCTCTGGGGTCAGGGCAAGCCTTCACAGCACAGCTGCAGATCTGTGGACTGGGGACATTATGCAATCTTTAAAGGTACAGTAAAGTGCCCATTCAGGCCTGATTCTGGCACCCTTCCTCACAGTGGGTGAGGAAGAGGGTCAGCAAAGGCTATCCACCTTTTAAGTCCCATTTACGCCCTGTTTTGAGGACTTAAGTGATGCCTCAGACTCTCTGCACAGGAGCGTTTCACCCCCAGAGCACACACCATGAGTGCAGATCACAAGGTTCAATGACACAGGTTTGTACTCACAGTTAGGCTGTGCATAGTTCACATAGCTGTAGTAAGTGGCCTGCTGAGAGAGACAGAGCCAGAGGGAATACCTCAAGGCTTCAGCATTCTCCCCTCCGTGCAGCACTGCCTCCTTTGAGGCCCTGTGCGCCTCCCCTTCGCCCTCCTCCAGGAGTAGGAATGAGGAAGTATCTGCACTTCCTTCTGCACAGGGAGTGGAGTTCTGCTCAAACCTTATATGGGCCCCATCCCATATCAGAGCTAGGGAGACAATGGCCCTCAATAACGGAGAGCCCTTGTCTCACTGTGGGTGAACTTCATATGTGATAGTGCCTTTAAGTGCTGTCCAACCAAATAGTTCCAGATTATGGAATTCTATGTATTTTCCATTTAAAAGTAAAAAATAAACTCTAAGCAATTCCAATTACAAAACCCTATCACTTGCAATTCCTCTCAGTGGTTCTCAGTCAGAAGTCCGGGGCCCACTGGGGGGGCCGCGAGCAGATTTCAGGGGGTCCACCAAGTGGGGCCAGCATTAGACTCGCTGGGGCCCATTGCAGAAAGCCAAAGCCCCACCGCCTAGGGCTGAAGCCGAAGCCTGAGCAACTTAGCGTCACAGGGCCCCCTGTGGCATGGAGCCCCAGGCAATTGCCCTGCTTGCTAGTCCCCAACGCAGGCCCTGGTTTTTATATGCAGAAAAACAGTTGTTGTGGCACAGACGGGCCGTGGAATTTTTAGAGCATGTTGGGGGGGGCCTCGGAAAGAAAAAGGTTGAGAACCCCTGCCCTAGCTTATAGCCAGTACAGTACCATCACAGAAGCCACTGATGCAAGTAAAACATCACAGTTAGTAAGAATTTCTTCCTTCTTTTACACTGGATGCTTTTCCTCTTTTCGGGCTTTTTAAATAGCTGCTTCTGTCCTTGTTCTATTATCACTGCAGTATGACTTTGCGTAAGACTGCAATCAGATTGTCATTTTACACCTCTGTGATTGGATGAATGACTTCATGGTTTAGATGTTCGGTTATCAATTTATACCTATAAAGATGTGTGAGTTTTGTCACTTAGATTGTTCTGCTTCTGTGTTTTTCAGCAAAATCTTGATATTTGCCTATACTTACCATATGGGCATAATCATGGCAGTGGGGGGTTTTCTAATGTCTGCGTTTTTATTTTTAACACTGCACTTTCCATAAAATACTTTAGCAAAAGGAATGGAGAATTGTAGCTTAAATATTAAAATGATTTACCATGACCATTTTTTTTTTGGAGTTATAACTTAATCAACAGCCTCTAGTGCACAGACACTAATTTCTTCCTTGATAACCCCAGGATTCTGGCATTCTTTAGTAAATTGGACCTTGTAAAAACTATGCTTGGGTGGTCCAGGATTATCTCTATAGAACCAGGCTGTTCCCAGTCAATAATTTTTTTAAAACAATTAAGAGAATGCTTACTGAGAAATATGCCTCTTGCAAACTGATGCATTTTTGAAAGCTTGCTGGGAAATAATAATTAGACTTACTGTAAACAGTGACATTTTCATTCTCAGACTATGATTATAATTGTCTTGGAAGCCTGAAACCTTTGAGTAAAACTCAATATTATTTTATTATGTTGTATTTATATACGCACTTTCACCCCCAAAGGGTCTCCTAATGCTGCCCAGAGTTCTGGCTAGAGCCATGAAATCAAGACTATTTTGTGGTCCTCCTGACTATGGTCTTCACAACTAGGTCCACAGACATATATCAATGTCCAATTAATACTTCACGACAATGGCTGTGGTGAATGGAGAAAAGTGGACACGAAACTAGAGACTAGAAACATCAACAAATGTGTTTGGTTATGAAGCACTGCTGACTATGGGACAACATAGACTACTGAACAACACAGCCCCAAGTCGACTGCATTGCAAGAACTCAGACGACAACACTGGCATTAACAGTAAATGAGGCTGAACTTGAATATCTGACTGCACCCTTCATAGGTAGGACCACACAAAAACCCATTTAACAGAGGCAATTAAGTATGCCAGACAAAGATTTGGCCTCACCCTTCCACATTGGGAAAATGCACCCATGCATTTGTGTGAGTGTGGTGAGAGAAACTTCATTTTACATCTGAACACAATAGTCTAATATTCCTAGCAATGATGTGTTCAGCAAAGCCCGACTAAAGTATCCTGCAAAAGAAGAGTTTTAAAATGAATTAAGCATTCCCTAAACTGGCCGACCTAGCTCATTAACGCCACAAACTTTTCCCACTCTTTCAAAAGCACAGCAACATGATCATGTCTTCCCCTTCTTCATACAGTTATGTCCAAACAATCGGAATAGAAACAACAACTTGTGACTCAAGTGACCTATCATACAGCAGTTAGAATGAATACGACATGCAGCATACTCTTTGTGAGCAATCCAGAGGATGAAACTTATTCTCATGCAACATTAATGGAATAATATTGAACAATGAACACAAAATGCCCAGTTTATGAGATCAGATGAGATCATAGACTGAGATAACATGTCTTAGAAGGCCATAGGCATCACCTAGTTATAGACACCCTGGTTGATCAGAATTATTAGGAATGTAGGCCATCATCATTAAGGAGAATTTTCTAGATTCATAGCACAGTAGTGTCCTTCCAATAGCAAAGGTTTTTAAAATATTCCTCCATAAAAGATAATTACTAATAAACAAAAATGCACTGATGTTTTATTTGCCCTATTCTCACGTTACTCTGAGTAGAATGCCTTTTTACTAGAAATATATATTTCTTATATATTTTATTGCTTTCCTTGAAAAATTTTCTATGATTCACTGGGCTGATTAACAGTTGTAAATGACAAAACAGTCCCCATGGATGTTAAGGTTGGAAAAGACCTATTAGGCCATCTATTCTGTCTCCTAGAAGTACTTCTCAGCAAGTTACATAGGTGGTTTACTTGGCATTTGCGCTGATATGAATGGATCATCCTATGGCATTATCCTTGGAAGCCAGGAGCACACATAATACTTCTAGGGGTGCCAGGTGAGAGCACCCTTATCTGTGACTCTGTTACTACATATGGCACATGCTTCTCGCAGCACATGGGGGATGTGGGGGACAAGACATGCCTTCCCTTCTCTCTGCAAATTATAGCTATCTCCCAAGAGTGCACTGCGAAGAGTCTATGAGCTTGGCTACACTTGCAGATGTAGAGCGCTGGGAGTTAAACCAGCCTTCGGAGACTACAGCAGGGAAAACGCTGCCGTATGTTTACACTGTCAGCTGCAAGCACACTGGCGTGGCCACATTAGCAGCTCTTGTAACGCCACAAAGAGCAGTGCATTGTGGTAGCTAGCCCAGTGTGCAAGTGGCTGTAGCGTGCTTTTCAAATGTGGGAGGGAAGGTGGAGTGTGACAGGGAATGTGTCGTGTGTATGTGGGGGGAGAGACTGTGTGTTCTGGGGGGCAGAGAGTGTGTCAGCATGCTGTCTTGTAAGTTCAGAGAGCGCCTCTCTTGTAAGTTCAGAGAGCAGCAGATCCCCCTCCCCCGCCTCTCTCTCACACACACTCACAACAGCAACATTCCACACTAATAGTTTGCTTTGTCCCGGAGCAGATAAGCATGCCGGCTATCAGAAACAGAGCTTTCAAAGGGGATATCTGCATGCCTTCAGCCGAGTTCAAAACAATGACAAGAGTGGCCACTTGACTTCAGGGGATTATGGGATGTTTCTGGAGGCCAATCACAGCGCATTAATGCAACACGTCATCCACACTGACACGTTGGAGTTTCAGCCAGGGCACAGAAAGCTTTATGCTTCTCGTGGAGGTGGATTACCAGGAGCGCTCCAGCTGCAGAGTCCAGGTGCTCTACGTGCCTTACCAGTGTGGACACCTCAGGAGTTAGGGCACCCTGGGCTGATTTAATGGGCTCTAACTTGCAAGTGTAGCCAAGCCTTGGTCTTTCCCAAGTATAAAAACAAGCTATCATTGGAAATGAGGTATTTAATCTCAATGGGACACTCCTGGTTAAATATTTTTATAAATATGAAGATAACTTTGTTGGCAGCTATGCTGCACAACAAAGCTATGCAATCCCAATGAAGTATGTAAAGCCATTCACTCCCATTCCTTCAAAACACCAGTGAATAGAAGAACATAGCAGGGAGGAGTACATCCAATAAATCAGTTCAATCAGTTTGTGTCGCTTCTATGCTACCCTTCATGAAGAATGATCACAAGGAACTTCACTTAAACTAACCTCAAACACTTACCAAACTACAACAGAGGGGAGGCAGAATAAAACAAACTAGTCTTCAAAACTAAAGCTTAAAAACGCCAAGGGCCCTATTAACTATAAAAAGCTTACAGCATCTCTGTGTGTGTGCACACGCTTGCAAACATGAGAGAGAAAATATATATGTACATGAAAAAACCCAGAAATTAGCAATCCATGCTGCCTCAGAGAGATTGTGCACTTCACTCTTAATTCACAAAGAAAATGTGACTTGCAAGGACCCCCATATGAGGATTTGAGCCCCCCTAAGGCCAACATTCAGATTAACATAGATAGCAGGGATGGCCGGGGAAAACAAAAACCCATCTGAACCATAAAATCATCACACAGTGCACAGTCCCGTATCTTAGTTCAGGACCTTACACATAACAATAGAAAGGCACAGCATTCCATATGCTTATAAATACGGTAAAGATGTGAAATACAAATTAGCTGAAATTGGCAGGAATCAGATATCTATTGCAATATATCGAATTAAAAGCCTGCAACTACTGGCAATTTTATATGTCATACTGTGTTAACATTTTGTTAATGTGTTCACTTACACAGAAGGGGAAAGTAATTATAAGACTTTCCTGTATGTATGTATGTATTGTTCTAGCTTAATAGGGGGGTTGGGGAAAAAAAAAAGAAACAGGGAAGCAACACCACAACAATAGATAAATAGCCTCCTAGCAAACACTGAGGAGGCAATTACAAGACAGTGGCCTACTCCCAGGCTCAAGTGACTGTTCTGCCGGTGCTGGGCTAGATCAATGGGCTATACACTGTTAAAAAGAAAAACTTCTAGGAGAAGAGGTGCGGGGGGAGTCAGTTGTCAGGTGTGATCAGTGGACAAGTTGACACACAGAAAGGCTCTGCAGAGGAGTCT